CCTTATTCCTGGCATAGGGAATAGCTCAAATAAAAGCCTGGAGGCTGGAGGATCCAGTGGTGTTTCTAGTATGAGATGGAGCACATAGAATGTGATCTAGAGGGTCAGTTAGGGAGTAACCCATCTTGATTGGGCTTAGAATGGGTGGAAGAGAATAGGGGAAGTTGAGGCAGGAAAGATACACTGTTGCCAGAATGTGGGGAGCCTTGAATGTGTGGACTAATTTTGATGAGACTGCATGGTACAATAGCTAAACCACCAGGCATGGAGTTAAGAAGAGTCGAGTTCCAAATTCTCCTAAAATACTGAGTAGCTAGGTGACCCTGGACAAGTCAGTTAACCTCTCTTGGCCCCAATTTCTGTATCTGTAAAATGGGGTAATAACACCCACTTCCCAGGATTTCTGTGAGGACCCAATGAGATGTTACATGTGGAGCCCTTTGAAAACCTCAGAGCCCTCTGTAAACATTGGCTGTTATGATTCCTCCAAGGACAAGGGCGAGTCACTAGGGTTCTTAGCAGATGATTTGTGAGGTCATTTTAGCGCGATGCGGTCATTGTACTGATGAGGCCACTGAGGCCTAGAGAGATGAAACAGTGTATCTGAAGACAGAAAGTGAAGATAGAGCCTGGACTCTAGCCCACATCTCCAATGTCCACGATCGATGCTCAGGATTAAGTGAGCCCTTCCTCTCCAGGAAAGGTCCTGTGTAGAGCCAACTCTCGCAGTGCAAATGAAGGAGGATTCGTTTCCAAACTTAATTTTTGTAGAAACTGATGGTGCAAAGGGAGTCAGGGCTTTGCACAGTGAGGCCACATTCCTCTCCCACAAAGAATCCACACTCAGGAAAACTAAACCAGCATCTGGCATGTGTTTACTCAGACAGCCACGAGGGGGCAGCACAGAGACACAAGGGACCAGAGATGTCTTGAATTAGAGTGAAAGAAACCAAGCCCTAACTGAGTGTGCTTCCACGCTGCCATATTTGTCCAGACTTTGCTTGAATACTTCCAGTTATGGGGAGATCACCACGTCGTGAAATGATCCAATCCATGCTGGACAGCTGATTGTTGGGAAGTTTGTGCTGAGCTGAAATCACTGGAATTCCCTAGAGCTTTGCCCTTAGTTTTCCCTCCTGGGGCCAGACAGAACCAGTCTGATTGCCTTTGACCCAGGACTGTCCTTCAGATATTTGCAGATGTGACCATGACACCCTCTAACCTAGTTTCTCCAATATTTCAATGGTTCAATGGCCAATTTTGTGCCCCCTCCCATTCTGGTCACCTCCTCCAGATGACGCTTCACTCTTTCTTCAAATGGGAAGCCTGTGGCTGGACACAGGACTCCACTGAGGTATGAGCAGAGTGAAGGAGATTCATGACCTCCCTTCCACTGGACTGTGAACACCCCCAGCAGCAGCCTGAGGTCCTCCATGAAATCATGGGGAGGTGGCCCAGGGCCACCTAGTGGTTACACTAGCAAAGCTGAGCCCAAGAGGATCTAACAGATGGGAAAGACTGAGATTATGGCCCCAGGGACAGACTGTGTATCTCTTGTGTGAGGACCAGCCCAGCTAAATCAGAGCCGCTTAGCACAGGGTAATCACAGACAGAGAGACCTCTCAATCGTAGTCACAGAAATGCTCAGACAATTAGACAAGGAATAGAGAGAGGGCTGGAAATCTCCATCAGTGGAGAGATTTTCCACACTAAGGAAGTTATGAATCCATGAAGTATTGAAGCAAGATGAGATTAATTTTTTTGGCTGCCTCATCACAAAATACTGACTCATGCTTAGCTTCTTGTTTAATTAATGACAAGCATTTATTAGGCTCTTCTTCATCCCAAGCATTCTGCTCAGGACCCCAATTTCTACCTGATTTGCTGCCTTATGGCCTCTCTGCCATACTGACCTAATTGGGGCTGGGAAGCCTCTCCAAAGAGGACAGCTCCTCAGGGACCAGGCTGTCAGGCTTAAGAGGGAGGTACCATCCCAAGAGCAGCTCAAAGAATATGGAACTTTGCTTCCAAGACCCTTCACCCTAACCACCAGCTCCTCTAGCCAGAGAACTTTGCTGTTGGCTGGCACAGCAAAGAAGGGTCATTAGTGAGGATGGGCCTCAACTCCTATAAGCAATGAAGAACAAAAGGGTCAGCTCCAGGGAATCCCAGGACCCAGAGTTAGAGGAGGGCTATCTATCCCGCCTGCAGACTCCCAGTAGAGATTGGGAATACACTCCCTCCTGGTGTAGCTCATGCCAGTTTAATTGGATGAAATAAATCTAATTGTCTCTCTCTCTCCAGTCTCTGAATTTGGTGGTGTTTAGGTATCAAAGGGAAGGTGGGTTCTCAGAATCTCTCCCAGGGTATCTGTCAGCAATGACAGCCAAGACCAGGAAAAGACATAGTCCCATCCAATAGTCAAGAACAAATCATGATGTAGGGGACAATAAAGGGGCCCCTCTGGGTCCTGTTGGTTTCACAGGCCAAGAATGACCCATCTCTGTTGAGTTGCATGTCCTTTGGGGCTCAGTTATGCTCTAGAGTAGCCTGATGGTCTGGGCTGAACAGAGTTCCAGGACTGGGTCTAAAGCAGAGCCAAGAACATCAGTCAGGCCCCAAATGAACCCAAAGCCTTGGTGGGTCAGGATGGGAGCCAAGATCTGCCCAGCTATGGTCAGACACAAATCCTACTTCCTGAGGGGTCCCTGACCCCAAGAATCTGTCTCTTGCTGTTGTTCTCCTTGGGTCCTCCAGGTGGCACTAGCAGGATATAAATGACTCTGTCCTATTGTCCCATTCACCAGGTGCCCCAGGGAGAGGGAGGAAGGAGTTCTCTCTATCCAACATCAGACCTCCCTCTACGGGCAGCTGACCCTCAGTGGATCTAAGGGCACCTGAGCCTCCCTAGGGCAATGGACAAAGCCCTTGGGAATTGGACCTAAGCTTCCTAGAGAGATCAGGGAATACACAGGGATGGAGGCTTAGACTCACAGAGCAGATGGAAGAGGAGAGGGGCTCACCACAAAGCTACCCTCAATGACCCTGCAACACAGGGCTCTGTAGTCCCGACACCCAAAGGCTCTGTCCAACCAGGACACCCCTTAGAAGCCTTCTATAGAGGTGGAGCAGGGAGCTGTGTTCTCCCCCAAAGTTACACATTTCGAGAGTCCCCTGGGCTGTGCTTGAGGCAGAGGAAAGTAGAATGCTGGATTCTGGGTCAGAAGACTTGCATTTCCTTCCTACCTTTTCTGTGACCCTGGGCAGGTCACTACCCTCTTAGAGTTTCTTTCTTCCACTGTCAAATCCATGATCTTGTGATGGGGGACCCAGAATTCCTCTTCCTGGTATCCAAACCTGACTGATCTCTAGTCCTTGGCTTGATGTACTGAATCTACCTGGTTCCCACTTGTTCCCTGTGCAACCAAGGAATAGTCACTTGACCACTCTGAGTACCAGTTTCCTCCTCTTCAACACTGGGAAATATTAGCTGACTTTGCAGACTCACAAGGCTGTTTGACCATAGCTCACCTTTAACTGCTTTAGAGAAATGGTCATTTTTCTGAGTGTTTCTTCCCTTATTGGGCCACAAGCCCCAGAAGGGGATAGGAGGATAGGACTTCTGCTCCCGTTCCCCTCAGTACCGAGCTCGGCCCATGTCTGGCCTTAATATTTGAGGGAATCCGCTGAGCTGGCCTCTCCCTCCTCCTTGACACTCCAGGCTTCCTTCAAGGCCCAGCCAAAATCCCACCTTCCAGGATAAGTCTTTCCTGACCCTCTCCCTTAGATGCTAGCACCTTCCCTCTGAGATGTCCTTCAATTTGTCCTCAATTGATCTTATTGGTATCCATGTGGTCTCTTCCATTAGACTGGGAGAGCAGGGATTTCTACCTTTCTTTGTATCCCCAGAGTTTAGCACAAAGCCAGGCACTTAGGAGGTGCTTACAAAGTGTTTATCAGCTGACTAAGGTAAGTAAAGGCCCCTTGAGTCCCCAGCCCTCCTCTACTCTCCACACATCCATCTCAGCACCATCCCTGGCTATCTTAGCTCCAGGTCCTGTGCCCTCACCACTCCCTCCTCCCAAAGGTGACTGGCCATCCTCCTTTACTGTGCTAAAGCCTTTACAAATATGGTCCCATTCAATCCTTTCAGCAAGCCTGGGAGATCAGTGCTAGTATTATTATTCCCATTGCACAGTTGAGGAAACTGAGGCAGATAGAGTTTAAATAATTTGCCCAAGGTCTTAAAGCTAAGTGTTTAAGGTTAGATTTGAACTCCCCTCTTCTTAGCTTCAGACCCAGCACTCTCTCAACTGAACCACCCAGCAAGGGGAGTTGGGGAGGGAGTATTAACAGGAGTGTGGGAGGGGTGTGGGGAGAGGAAGATGCCCCCTAGGTACTCCCACTATGAAGGAGGCAGCTCTGGTCTGTATAATCCCCTATTCAAACTCCCCAGCCCTGTTGCACCCTCTCAGCAGCCACAGTGAAATGTCTGAGGAAAGGCCAGGGCACTCTGGGCTGGCTTGAGAGGGGAGGGGAGACTCAGCAGTCTGGGTCTCAAAGGCCCCAAAGAGGAATCTAAGTACATTCATTGCCTCTGCCCACCATTCTCTGTGCACATTCTGGGGGCTAAACAGTTTCTACTCTGGGAGGGAAATAAGGGAGGGGGTCAGGTGTCAGCACAACTGGACAGTAGGTAACACTGACTGACCCTTGTTGCCCTTGGGAACAGAACCACTTCTCCATGGACAGTGGGAGGGATCCGGTCAGGGGAGGGGCTCCCTGGGAGAGGCAGGAAACCACAGCAGCTGGGAGGGGAAGAAAGAGGAGGAAAGGGGAGGGAGGAGAAAGCCAGAGGCCAAGTCCCTGCCCTGTGGGGCCCATGTGACTGGCAGATAGAAGAGCTCCAACCCTGAAGAGAGAGACCTCAGTCCTCTAGGGAAGGAGGAGACAGAACAGACACAGCTCTGGGCTGCACGCAGGGACAGCCTTGAACCTGGTCCCCAGCAGGGACACCTCCAGGGTCCGCACTTGGCCTCTTTACCGGGAAGACAGCCCAGGAGGGGAAGGCAGTGGGCAGCACAGACCTATGGAGAGCCCCTCACAAGCTCCCCACAGTGGGGGCAGCCTCTGGAAGGGGCTTCTGCTCACAGGTGAGACACCAGCTCTTCTGGGGCTAGGGAAGAGAGGAAGCTTGGGGGATTCTGAACCAGATATAGGCAAGTGAATAAACACAAGGACCAGGAGGAAGAAGACTTGTCCCGTTGGGGGTGGGGGTACGAGGAGGACTTGGCCAGGCCAGTCTTCCCTGAGCCAGGGGCAGAGGGGGAAGTAGCAGCTCAGGGCCATCAGTCCACATCCCAGAGACTCAGGGCAACGTCCATTCCTGGAGCTGAGCAACCTCTGAAGAGGCTGAGGGAATTGTTATAGGCAGAGGAGACCTGCGTGCGGATCTCAGCTTTGATGTTTACCAGCTGTGTGACCATGGACAGGTCACTTACCCCTCTTAGCTTGTGTTTACCAGAAACACCACCTTCCTAAGTGGGAAAGGCTTTCCCTGGGTTTGGGGCCAAAAGATCTGGGTTCAAATGCTGCCTTTGCCATTTCCTATTTAATTTTGGTCACATGTGTTACCATATCTGGGCTTCAGTTTCTTAATTGTAAATTGAGGGCATTTGACTCTAAGGTTTTGTCTAGGTCTAAGATCTGATCTGTCTTCAACCACAACACTTTATTGATTTATTTCTCCCTTCAATGTCTTGCCTACCACACCACACATCATTTCTTAATCAAGTCTATAGAGGGAGCCAAAATTTGTTACAGACCAAACTTTCAGATCCTCTGCACAGATTGAGACTGACAGACTGATGCTCAGGAACATGAATCCCCTTCACACATAACCCCACTGAGCCCCCAGCAGACCCTGGGGCAGGCTTAGCAACCCTCACTCTTATCTTGGGGACAGCTCAGTGACCTGTGCCCTCAGGAGGGCAGGGGAACCCTGCTGACCTCTGCCTCCTTCCTCTCCTCTCAGCCTCCATCCTCAGTGACTGGATCCAGCTGACATCTGCCCAAAGTGATTCCGTCAGTGTTGTGCCAAACCCACCCTATGGGGCAGTGGGCAGCAGCATCACCTTGGACATCCAGGGGTCCTCAGAGCAGACTCCCAGCTACACTTGGTACAGAGGGGCAGTAAGCCCCTCCAACGAGATCGCTTTCTACCAGGTTGCTAGTGGACAGCTGACATCAGCAGATAGCCGGCTGAACGTGTCCTCCAATGGCTCCCTGATCATCCGTGACCTCATCCTCAATGACACTGGTGACTACTTCGTACAATTTCTTGATCCCACAAGCAGCAAGATAGTAACAGCAGAAGGATATTTAGCCGTGTATGGTAAGTGATACCCTTCCCACGGGCCATGCCGTCACTCCAATACCCTCCCTCAGTCTGGGGCCAGAGCCCTCCCCTAAGTTCCTTACCCAGGGAGCAGGTAGAATGCAGAACATGACCCACCCCCACATAAAGTAAACTGAAGAGGTGAGAACCCTGCAAACCCAGACCGACCTAGTTAAGGGTCACGGAGAGCACAGGAGAGTTCAGACGTCCCTACCTTCTGAGGCCCTTGGCATTTAACATTTGGAAGGTAACTTCCTTCTTTCTCCCAGTTTTCCCAGGCCATACTGTGAAACTAGGAGGGGCCACTGAGTGCCTTGGAGGGGGCACTTGGCCCCCTCCAGTTGTGCCTGAGACAATCTGTTCAGGAAGTTTACCTGCCTCAAGACATTTAAAAATCCATGAGGCAGAGGAACATTGCTGGGGACTGGTGGGGGGGGAGTGGACAGTCACAGACACTTGCTTTCCAGCTGGGCCCAGAAGACCTCAAGTCCACACTCCCCACTCCCCAAGAGCCAGAAGCCTGGCTGCCCTGGGTACCCGGGACCACCTGGATGCCTGTGCTCCCAGTGCTGGGATGGGGACCCCAGAGGGAGGACACCTGTATTTTCTCCACTTTCTAGAGGAAAGTCCAAGACAGAGGGGCCCAGGCTGCACTGAAGGACAGCCTGGGACAGAGGGCACAGCTCTGCTGAGGTCTCATCTGTATGGGGAGAAGACAAATTCAATATGGAGAGCAAAGAGGCCATCTGGGGCTCCCCACTGGGGCAACTTTCCCAACCAGGAGAGATTTCCAGTTGGGCAATGGCTAACAAGAACTATCATTTATATAGTGCCTGGAGGTGTGCAAGGTGCTCTATGTATCATATTTCATTTGATTCTCTGAAAGACCCTGTGACATAGGCACTATTTTTATAAATGAGGAAAATTATCCTGAGAGAGACTGAGTGACTTGGCCAGAGTCACACAGCTAGTCAGTAGCTGGGGCAGAATTCGATTTCAGGCCTTCCTGACCCCCATTCTCTCTACTGCACACCCTAGATGCCTCCCACCATGGAGGGTTACCTCAGGAGACAGTGACCTCCCCAGCACTGGGAATCTTCAAGCAGAGACTAGATGACCATTTGCCAGGGATGTTCGAGTGGGGGGGGGCCCTCATCAGGCCTGGATTGGCCAAGATGGCCCTGAGGCCCAGAAGCAAAGAATCCCAGAGGCCTCTGGGGGACTTTTAGCTCTAAGGTTATACGGTCAGGGGGGCTGGAGGGTGGGGCATGCCGGGGAACAGCCCAGAATATCCAGGGCTTTCTTCCATAGTGTGCCTTCTGGAAATTGTCCTAGGCATCTGTCTGTGGCAGGATGCATTCAATGGCTGCAGGTGAGAGGCAGGAGCCAGTGTTAGGGGAGGGCCCTGCTGGTCATTCCTCAGCTCCCAGGCAGAGGATATTGTGGGAGGAAGGACCTAGGAATAGTCAATCCATTGATTGACAATCATTTGTTAGGCACCAACTACATGCATAGGCACTAGGCTGGGTACAGGGCATAAAAGGCCAGAAAGAAGTGAGTCGCTACCCTCAAGGAGCATGCATTCTATTGAGGAAATGTATAAATACATATGTGGAATAAATATGAGGAGAATAGGAAACAGTTCAAGACTGATGATTTCCTGGGTAGAGGCAATTCCTAGAGGAGGCTACCCCTCCACCAATGCAGGCTGGCACCTTCTCAAGTCCTGATCTTACCCAGTTCTCCTGGGCACTAAGGGGGAAAGCAGATTGCCCAATATTACGCAGCTGCTATGTGTCTAAGGCAAAACTAGCACCCAGGTCTTCTGGGCCCTCCAGTTAAATACAAGGTCATTAGGGAGGAGGGCACTAGCAGACAATGGCATCAGGAAAGGTTTCCTGGGGAGGTCCTGTTAGAGGGGCCATACTGAAGGAAGACAGAGGTAGGGCAAGAGGAGGACAGCCCAGACTGGGTCGGGGTAGGAGGACATGGATCCCCTCCTCAGCATAGGACACTGTAGTAGCTGGGACCTGGAAAGGAAGCTCAGCCCACTGAACTCTCTAAGGAGCCTGTGAAGAAAGAGGGCACCAAGAGGACCCAGAGATAAGGGCTGAGACAAGGAACTTGTGTGGGGCCAAGGCTGCCTCAGTCCCCCCCCCGAGAAGCAGAGTCTTCTGGAGGCAACAAGAGATTGGGCCCTTCACCAGACACAAGGGGAAGTGGGCTCTCCCAGGGCTTCCAGCTTCTGCTAGAGGGGCAGGGCCAAGGAAAGAAGAGAGCTCTAGACTTGGGATCAGGAGGTCTGGATTCAAATCCCAGCTCCTGCATTCACTGTGTGACTCAGGGGAGTCATCTCAGCTCTGTGACTCTCCATTGCCTCATCTGTAAAATGGAGATACTAATCCCAGCATTCTCTTTTTCTCTGGCTGTCCTGAGGAAAGACCCTTCAAGTGCAATACAGATGGGAATCATTGCTCCTCCCTGGAGGCTCCCTTAGCTGCTCCTCCCACTCAATCCCAGCCAGTAAGTGAATTGGGCAGCTGGATGACCCAGTGCTGGACCTAGGACAAAGAGCTCTAGGATAATTTGAGGAGGGAGCTGTCAGCAGGGGCAGGGGACATGAGGAAGTAGTCTTCCACCTCTTGGGGGAGGTGGAAAGTGAGCTGAGCCTGGCAAGTAGAGAGTTTCTGCAGGGATCCTCCAGTGCAGATGTATGGAGAGGGATGATGGCAGGTCAATAAGGAAGGAAGAATACCTAGGCTGTAGTAAATTCTCTGTCAGGTGTGGCTTGAGCTGAATAATTTTGTGATGGAAATCAAGTGGGCTGGAATATTGAGAGTCCAAAGAGGAGTGGTGTAAAATGCAGCCAGGAGGAGGCTGTGCTGGCCTGCACCATCCAGGGTGGAGCCAGAGAGAGCACCTGGGAGGCACTTGCTTCCCCCCAACTTTCTGCAGTGATGCCCTGAGACCACAAGGGCGTTGGCTTTGGGGTTTTGTTTCTGGGCTGCTGTGCTGTCTTTCTCAGGGAGCACGAGGTCTCTGGGGTGCTGGGATTCCCTCCCTTTTCCTGCTGCTGATGCCTCTGAACAGCTCCTGACCCATGAGGAGTTTGCTTCTTGTTCTGGCCTCCTCCCTTCTTGTTGGCCTTCCCGTTCGATGCTTCCTGGGCATCTTAACAGCCACACTCACTATTCTGGGTCAAGAGAATAAGGCTTGTCCATGATGAGTGAGCTCCCTGGGGAATCTCAGACCACCTGCTGCTGTTCCTTCTCCTCTCCGACATGGAGCTTCCCTTGAGCTGGTCACAGCCGGCCCTTTGGCCAGTGAGAGCTGGAAGGAGCCTCAGAGACCGTCCAGCTCTGTGTGAGTTACAGGGCACTCTGACTGCGCTTTCTTCCTTGAATTATCTCTGGGACTCCTTTAAAAAAATACAAATTTCTTTCATTTCATCACATGCAAGGGAAAAGGCAGTTGTATAGTGAAAAACACAGAGGATTCAGGTACAGGAAGACCCCAGAGCAAGACCTGCCTCTGACATTGACTACTTCTGTGGCAATGGGCTGGTTACTGAAGGTGTGAGCAACTTTCTAAAAGGGTAATGAGGTTTGACCTTAGAGTCAGAGGGCCTGGGTTCAAATCCTGATCTGCTGCTTGCTGTCTATTTGGTCAAAGACAAGTCACAATGTGGGACCTCAGTTTTCTCCTCAAACAATGAGAGCATTGACCTCGATCAAGGGTCCTTAGATTTCACAGGGTCTAGAAACATGGGTGTGAAAAAAATCACAGCTCTATTTTCACTAACTTCTGGCTTTCTTTATATTCCTTTGTATTTCATTTTGTGAATTTGAAACCATGATTCTGAGAAGGGTCCATAGGCTTCCTCAGGCTGACTGCCCAAGAGACTCGTGAGATAAGGAAGGTAGAGAGCCAGCAGTCCTAATAATCTCTGGGGTCCCTGCCAGCTCTGAATCTGTTACCCTCTTACCCTGTGAATCATGGTGCAACACTTGGAGGTGGCAGACCATGGGACACATCTCATAGGCAGACAGTCATCGAATCTGGTGAGAGGATATAACATGGGTGGAAAGGAGCGGGATGAGATAAGGCTGCAGAGGAAAGATGGCTCAAGGGGGTGCAGGAGCCTGAACATCAGTTAAAGGACATTGATCCTGAGATGGTAGGTAATAGTGAGCCCCTAAAGGTCCTTGAGGAGAGGAGTGACCTGGCCAGATCCACACACCATTCTGATTGTTTTCACGGTGGTGCGATGGGTGTATTGGAGGGTCATGAAGAAAGATAGAGAAACCCAGCCATGCAGGGATGATAGAATCCTCGATTTGGCCCTGGAAAAGGACCTCAGATATCCTTTAGAGTAACCCTTCCATTTTATAGATGAGGAGACTGAATCCTAGAGAGAGGAAGAGACTTGGCCAAGGTCATATCAGTATGAAAGATTTGAATCCAGGACCGTCTGACCCCAAGTCCAGGGCTCTTTCCCCTGTGCCCTATGGCATATAATGAACACTATCTTGTCTCCAGTGCTCCCCTCTCTCCATGATCTGTCTTCCTGAGCTCCTGCCATACCCGCTCGAGGCACCAGGGGAGACCATGACCTCAAAGCCTTGGGACCCGCCTCCTTATAAGAATGTGACAGCTCATATCTATGCAATACATTATGTTTTACAAAGAGCTTTGTATAGATGGTATCATTTGATCCTCTCAACAACTGGGAGGTGGGCATTATTATCCCCATTTTATAGGTGAGGAGCCTAAGGCACAGATGGGTTAAATGACTTGCTAATAAATCACGTACCTGAGTCAGAACTTGAACTCGGGTCTTTCTTAAGTCCAATGCTAGGCACTCTACCGTGCCAGGAATAAGATCCATTGGGGCTGTCAAGGCATCTCCAAAAAAGTCCTACCACGGCCTTCTTTCTCAGGAGAGTGCTCAATGTCTTGCATGTCCTCACCACACCTCAGAAGTGGCTAGCTGACCTCAGCCTTCTCAGCTTCTTGGCCAAACCCACTGGGCCTTACTAAATACAAGGTTCTCTCAGTATCTTTGCAAGAGATGAGACACACTCTCCCTCACCCTAAACCTCTTAACAGGGACCAAGGGAGGGAGTGGGAACTCTACCAAAAAGGGGGAGAAAGAAGGTCAGGAAAACTCAAATATTTCTAATTTATTGCTCTTTGGAAATTAATCCACAGACAGCTGGGGAAGGATGACCCAAGGGGGAGTCTGGGGAGCCCGATGAATGTGGCCCAGAGCTTATTCTAGGACACACACCTTTCTCACTGGCCAGGCTGACCTGCCAACTACAGGCCGGTGTCTGGACCCTCCTTGGGCCGTGAAGGCTCAGCTTCCTAGGGTAACATATCTGTACATATCTGTAACATAACAACATATCTGAGCCAGAGGAGATCCTGAAGAAGACCACCTTGAGCATTCTCATATTGCAGGAGAGGAAACTCTCCTAAGGAAAGGGGAAAGCCCAAAGCAGGGAATGTGTATGAACTGCTCCTATGGACAGGACACAGTGTTAGGCATGGGGGATGTAATTGTCAATTAAAGACTCTTGGACTTCAACCAGGTCTCTTGACTTCTAGCCCAGGACTCTTCCTTCTGCATGCTGCTGCTGACTGATGTATTCCCAGTCTCTGCATTTCCTTTTTTTCCCTTTGGAGTTAAGGTAATGTCCTGGCCATTACTCTCTGACCTTCACCAATATCGTCCTCAAAGTGTGGAGGTGGCCCTAGCTTCTGGAAGTTCAGGCCAAGGAAGCATAAACTGTCCTAGATCCTGCCAAAGCAGAAAGGCTTCAAGTACAGCCTGAGTAATGGACATGGGAGTCTGTCACCTCTGGACCAGGCTGCCTCAACCTGGAAAGATTCAGCACCAAGGGCTTGGGCTTCAGATGAATGTCTTTGTCAGCCACAGCAACTCAGGAAAGAACTTTCTCCTAAGGACTGGAGAAGCTGTGACCTGCATCAGAGAAAGCAATGTCCATGTCAATGAAATCACAGGTTCTTGGCCTCATCTTCCAGGGCCTCTGACCTTGCCAATGTCTTACAGAGCCTATTTCCAAACCACATACTTGGTTGGAAGGGTAAGAAAAAGGACCAAACAGTCATTTTCTGTCTATTTTCTGCACAGGGCCACTATCCAAACCTACCATCAGCAGCACCAACATGGCCCCAGTGGAGAACAAGGACAATGTCTCCTTGACGTGCCAGTCTGAGAGTCAAGAAGTCACATACCTGGTTTGGTACATAAACCAAAGCTCGCCAGCTGGTGACAGGATAGTGCTGTCCCTGGATAACAGGACACTCACTATAATCAATGTCACAAGGGAAGACCAAGGACCCTATGAGTGTGAAGTCCAGAACCCAGTTAGTGTCAATAGAAGTGACCCATTCACACTGAATATTACTTGTGAGTAACTTCTCTTTCTACATGGTGCATGCTTATAGCCTGGTGGTGTGTTCCCAGAGGTCAGCCTAATTCAGTCACTTGCATGAGTTCTGAAGATCAATTCTCTGAGATTCCCATGTCTCTTGATTTTGGGGGGCCCAGATTGGCCATACCATGCTTTCTCATCTATGATGGAGGAGGGCCAGCCATGGTGCTGGACTAAGGGAGGCCTTAAGACCTCTCAAGTTCAGGGATCTCAGGTCCAGACCTGTAAAGTGGAGGAGGAGCTGTGAATTTCCCAGCTTAGAGGAGGGTCAAGGAGATACAATGGTCTCTGGTGATGGGTTACAGAATAGGAAATTCCCCTTCTCTCTTCCTTTATCTCAATATGGACTCATTCTCTTTACTCCAGATGGCCCGGATACCCCCATGATTGTCCCCACAGAACCTAATTACCCCGTAGGGGCAACTCTTGAGTTGTCCTGCTCTGCTGACTCTAACCCACCTGCCCAGTACACTTGGCTTATCAATGGAATACAGACGGTGTTCACACCCCAGCTCTCTATTCCTAACGTGTCGCTGAATCACACTGGAACCTATACCTGTAGTGCATCTAACTCAGTCACTGGTCTGTCTAGCAGCAAAGACATCAGTATCACAATCTCTGGTGAGTAGCTAGACCTGGCCCTCAGCCTTTTGCTGGGCTCTGCCTTTCCCTGGCATGAAAGAAACAAAGATTAGTGACATTCTGCCCTTCTGGTGCCCATGGCACTATGTGTTGTGGTGGAAAGAGCTCTGAGCTCAGAATCATGAAACTGGGGCTAGAAATCTGACTCTGTCATCTACCTGTGCACCCCCAGGTGCCTCTCCTCCTTTCTGAGCCTCAGTTTCTTCATCTGGAAAATCCTTCCCTGCCCATAGCACAGAATTCAACGTGGAGAAAATTCTTTTTACATTTTAGGTACAAAAAGCTTGTGAGTTGTTACTGTTGTTTTTCTCATTCTCATTCTCACTCTCTTCTGTCCCAGAGACACACAACCCTCTTTCTCCCCCAAGTCCCAGGGCCACAGCTTCAATGACTGCCCCTGGACCCTGTGGTCTTTCCTTAAGCCCATCTCACTTGGTGCTATGGGCCCACATGGGGTCTTGGTTGGAATATAAGCCATCATGGTGTAATAGGGCTGGCTCTGATCCCCTTTTGCAAGGAAATTCAGAAGATGGTAAGGGGAATTTAAACTTTGTCTCCTTTCATACACAAAGACTCACTTCTGCATCTGCATGTTCCCCCTTTGCGAAATGAAATATCACACAGAGCGATGCCTGATCGGAAACTGGGCTCTTGTCCAGGTGAAGGGTAGAATAACCTTAGCATCAGGGGACTGTGGCTGGCCTGTCTCCACTGCCTCAGTTTCCTGGTCTGGTAGCTCACTCCACACGTTCTCTGCGGACAGTGGCTTCGGGGTGGTTACTGTGTCTCATGTGTACAGATGACAGATCCTCTGCATTCCCAATCACACTGGCATGCAGCTAGACCCTAAAGGGATCATCTGTGGCCCCAGAGTTCTCTTTTCTTTCTCTGGCAAAATTGGTGGAGTTTTGTCCTTACAAACCCACAACTTCCTGCCTCTACTCTGAGGCAGGAGGAACGGAGAGCAGGAGAAAGAGGTAGAAGTGTGGGCTGGGGATTTGAACCTGGGAAAGTCAGACTGCAATAAGATATGTCTTGGAAGAGAGATGACTTTTATTGGCCTAAATCTGTACAGAAGGATCCCTAAGCCCCACATGTTGACTTAGTTTTTAAATGTAATATTATCTTTGCATTATTATATTTTTATTTGTCTAGCTAAATATTTCCCAATTACATTTTAATCCAGTTCAGACCACACTGGAGAGTGTAGCAGGAGTGCATTTGGTACCTGTGGCTTAAGTTACCTTTTTCTTAATTTAATTTATATTTATATAAATTATACAATATATTATATAAATATATATATTCTATTTCTTTAATTAATACTCACTTAATTCTGCATCAGTTCGTGTAAATCTTCTGAGGATTTGTTCTTGACCTTGTTCTGGTAGATGTTCTTATCAATGAGATAATATATGTAATGAATTCTGTATATGGTGACTCTTATTCTAATAATTACACAGACCAAAAGCATAATTTTGAAATTTAAGAAAGAAGAAAAAGCTAAGATGAAAGTGACCATGTGTGTGGACCAATTAGGATCCAGAAGCCTCTCAGCAAGCTGGTACACTTGGTGTGATCAGAATTATTGGAGATTAATGTCAGATCCCACCCTTGGCTTCAAAAAGTCCGAAGCATAAACAAACATGGGTCCAGATGGGGAAATTGCTAGTTACCCAGACATAGGAAAAACAGTTAAAGTAAGTAAGGATGGTTGGCTTAGAGAAGAGGAGATTGGGGGCAGACAGGATACTTGACTTTTGAATACAATGTTAGCTTGCCTAAAAAGAGGCCGAGCTCCCATCATAGATGAGATCATCACAGAAACCCAGAATTTAATGGTGAGACAGAAGCTCTTCTGAAAAAGACCTGGAGGGTCTGAGTGGACCGCCAGCTTAATACTTGAGTAATGAGGAGATAAGGCAGCCAAAAAAACTAATGTAATTGAAGCACATCTAATTCCAAGAACAAGTAGAGAACAGTCCTTCTGGAACATCCAATGGCACTCAGAGTATTGTATTTGGTTCTAGACGACACAGTTTACAAAGGACATTGAGACACAGGAGAGTGTCCCGAGGAAGGCAACCAGATTGGTGAAGGGTCTGTTGTCCATGTGACAGGTGGGTCAGCTGAGGCAACTTAGGTTAACCTTTTTTTTTTTTAGGCAACTGGGGTTAAGTGACTTGCCCAGGGTCACACAGCTAGTAAGTGTGTCAAGGGTTTGGTCTGAGGCTGGATTTGACTTCAGGTACTCCTGACTTGAGGGCCGGTGCTCTATCCACTGTGCCACGTAGCTGCCCCTGGGAACTTAGGTTAGCTGGGGAAGAGAAGGCTTGGGGGAGACACATGATAGCAATTTGCTGGACTCTTTGGGGGAAGGGGAATTAGATGTGTCCCATCTGGCCTCAGAGAGCAGAACCGGGAGCATACAGAAGCAAATAGAGACAGGGCAGAATGGCCTCGAAGGTCCCATACAACTGGACTTTCTGGGCTTCAGTGGAAAACCCCCTCATGGCCAGAACTGTCCCAAAGCAGAATGGTTTCATGGAGAGTTGGTAGGTTCAAAGGCGATCGTATGTGTAAAGCACTTAGCACAGGGCCTAGCACACAGTAGTCACTTAATAAATGCCCATCCTTCCTTTCCTCCTCTTTGGATGCTGGATGAGCATCTGTGAGGTAGAATGTGCCACAGATTCTGTTTCAGGCAGGAGTCGGACTTGATGGTCACCAAAGTTTCGTCAACTCCAAAATCCCGTGGTTCTGTCTCCAAGTCTTTTCATCGCTATCAAGCAGAAAGGGATTTGTCTTGTTGTACTTGACCCCAGAGGGAAGAACTAAGACCAGTGAATCAAGGGTGCAGAGAGGAAGAACTGGGCTAATTGTCAGAGCAAACTTCCTAACGGTTAGAGTGGTCCAGACCAGGAATGGGTTGCCTTAGTGGATACAAGGCTTCTCCTTAGTAGAGCTCTCCAAAGGCTAGATTGGATTGGGCTAAATGACCCTCTCTTCAAGATCTTGAGATGCCCTGGGATTCACTGAATGTAAAAGGTGCAATACAAGGCCTGACAACAGTTGGTGTGAGAAAGATTGAGGGACTGGTTGGACTAAAAGCTAACTTGACCTTGGTTGCAGTAATAGCAGCATGCTGTCTGGATCCAGGGAAGCAGGGGTCCTTCTGGGCTCTGGGAGGACAGGCCCCCCCCCAGAACAAATGCTATATTCAGTTCCGGGCTCCTCATGTTAGGATGGACATGGTCATGAAGCTGATCTTCAATGTCTCACTGAGCCAGGAAGGTGGCCCAGGGTTCTCATATGCAAGGCATGGCAGGAGAGACCCCCAGGAGGCTAGTGTGTCCATCATCAAAGGACTTGGCTTGTGCCAAGTGAGCAGAGACCCATCACCCCAAGCTTGGCTCCAAGGAGACAGATTCTTTCGGCTCAGGTTCATGGTGTCCATTTGCTGGGAGTAGAGGGACAGAGGACTAGGGTGGAGGGAAGCCCTCCTACAAATCATAGCTATTTGAAACATTACAGCATCCACCCACAGGAATGTGGTGACTCAGTCATGGCTGAAGGGATTGATCAGAGTGTGGAGGGCACAAGAAAACAGTCCTCAGGACCCTGAAGGGCTCTTGTGTGGTAGCAGGTCAGCATTCCTCTATCTGGTTCCCAAGGGGAGAGCTAGAAATCAAGTGAGGAAGTCACAAGGAGGCCAATGTCACACAGCATAAGGAGACCTCACAAGCAGAGCTGTCCGTAAGGGAAAGAGAGGCCTGAACACTGATGAGGTCGTGGATAGGCAGAAGCTGCAGGACCGTTGATCAGACCTGCTGTGGGATCTTGGGTCAGATGTCCCCTGCCACTCTGGTTCTCTGCTGCTCAGACAGGGGCAGACTCTTGGCCTCCTCTGAGCTCATCCAAGCCAAGGCTACTGAGCCCTCAGGGGATGCTGCAGAATCTCTCCTGGGGCAGAGAGCATCTGCTGACCTCTTTGTGTCCCCAGCTGGTCAAGGAGGAGCAACAGCTGGACTAGGGGGAGGAGGAAGGAAACAAGCATTTATTGTGTGCCTACTGCGTGCAGGCACCATGCTAAGCTCTTGACAAAAGTCATCTCATTTGACCAGGGGTAGTGCATAAGGTTCAGATCTGCAGGACCCTGTGGGAGCACAAGGTTCTTGCACCCCAAGCAGAGCCCTGTTGATGTCCTAGGTCTCCCTACTAGATGCCCTGTCCATGCACCCCTGCAGGGAATTTTGTGCAAAGGAACACTGCCTCCACCGTCCAATAGGGAGCCCAACCCTGGCAGGGGCTCTGACTTTGGAAGAAGGAGGCTGGGTCTGCCAGTGAAGCTCCATGGGGGCCTCCAGGGTACCCCCCCAATGCACCTGAGGAAGGAGGTGCCCAAAGGAAAGTACTCTGAGCTCAGGCCTGTCCCTCTGCCAGTCATTCCCATGTCTATAGGGAGACAACATCCTGAAGAGAGAGTATTTGGGGTGAGCTAAAGGGAGCCTGACTTCAGAGCCAGGACACCTGGGTTCCAACCCCAGGTCCATTATTTTTATTCAATGGACTTTACCTGGACCCTGGGAACCTCCATTTTTCTCATCAAGAAAATAAGGGGGGGGGGAAGCTAAGTGGTGCAGTGGATAGACCATCAACCCTGGATTGAGGAGGATCTGAGTTCAAACACAGCCTCAGAAATGTAACACTTACTAGTTGTGTGACCCTGGGCAAGTCACTTAACTCCCATTGCCCAACCAAAAAAAAAAAGAAAGAAAGAAAGAAAGAAAATAAGGGGGTGCATTAGATGATAGGTAAGGCTCTTCCAGATGGAGACCCAGGATCCTCTGATCTGGCCTGGATTCAGACTCAGATACTAAACTGGCTGTGTGACCCTGAACAAGCCACTTAACCACTGTCTGTCTCAGTTTCCTGAACTGTAAAATGGAAAGAATAATAGCCCTTCCTTCCCAAGAGGATGAAATTAGATAACATAGTATTTAACGCAATGCTTGACAATAACAATAATTATAATGATGAAGATAATAATAGCATTTAGATGCCACCTACCATGTGCCAGGCATGTAGTAGGCACTTCATAAATGCTCGCTCCCTACTCCCATCCTTACCTTAATCACTAGATTATGCACATTCCAGAATCTGTCTCAAGGAGATGTTAGCCCAGGACACAGCACTCCATCCCCTGGGCTTCCTGCTCACCTTCCTTATTAGCACAACTATTGAACCAGGGGGCATCTCCCTCCCCATGGTATCAGGGACCATTGCTGTATGTCTGTAGTGGAAGTGTTTGGGCTTGGGCTTTGGAAGACGTGACCTAGTGAAGACCCAGGCCAGTCCCTCACACAACTCCCTCTTTTTTTTCTCTCGACAGAAATAGCATCCAAACCTAACATCACTGCAAACAGAACCAACGTCACTGAGAATGGCACTTTGGTCTTCACATGTAGCACAGAACATGAGGGGATAAAGATTCTATGGCTCTTCAATGGCACATCCCTGTCACTCAATGAGAGGCAGTACCTGTCTGACAATGACCAGACCCTCACCATCCAGAATGTGACAAGGAAGGATGCTGGGTCCTATCAATGTGAAGTCTGGAATCCAATCAGTTCCAACAGAAGTGACCCCCTGGAAGTGACTGTGAACTGTGAGTGACTCTGAGCCTCCTCTCTCTCTGGTCCTTTCCCCAACAATGATTCACACCTCATCTCTCTCTTTCTTCTTTACACAGATGGACCAGACTACATCCTATTTTCACCGAATCCTGTAACAGATGAGATTCAGGTCATACTCCAAACGTCATTGACCTTAGTATGTCAGGTTGAGTCTTACCCACCTGCACAGTATGAATGGCGAGTCAATGGCACTGTGAACCCTGAGTTCACCAATAACACCTACGTCATCAAAAATGCATCTTGGGAAGATTCAGGACAGTATACATGTTTAGCATGGAACAACATAACTGAGTTGTCAGTGGCTAAGGACATCACAATCAGTGTGGTTGGTAAGTGGTCTCTCCCTTCCATCAGAGAATAAGCTTTTGGGGTTGGCCAAAGGTAGGGTGATGGGAGGAGGTGCTCAGGCCCATTAAGGTGAGCAGTTTTTCATGGTGAATTGGGAGAGGACATGCAAAGAAAGAATCTGATTCTAGGAAATGTGGCCAGACTTGTAGTGAATGTCAGTCCATTTACTGCTATTTTGTCCTTGGTAAAAATGGAGACCAGCCTCCCTGTCTCCTAAAATAATCTTAGAAACTGTCAGGTACAGTACAAGTTCATTCATCATTCAATACATATTTAGGTACAGATCTTCTACAGAACACTATGCCAGGCACAGAGGGAAATACAAGGTTTAGCTAAGACTCCATGCCTATTTTCAGGGACCTTATAATCTAGTAGAAAGATCAGACCCCAAACACAGGTAAACGATACACAATATTACATGATGAGCATACTTAGACTATGGCTACAAACTAAAGTGTTGTAGGACGCCTAAGGGGAAAGACCATTCCAGTTGGGGGGTGGGCTGAAATCAGAACAGGTTTTATAGAAGAGCTAGCATTTGAATTTTGTTTTAAAGGATGAGGGTAGTTTAACAGGTCAAAGGGGAGAATATTCTGTTGCTATAGAGAATTAGCCTGAGCCAAGGTTCAGAGGTGGGAAACTATAGTATGTGTCTGAGTGCAGAATATAGAACAATGCAGCCTGAGCAGATGATGCATGGTCAGGAGAAGTATTAGAGAGGGCGGCTGCTGTTTTGTGAAAAGTCTTGAATTCTAGGCTAAAAACACCAAAGGTTACTCAGTAGGTAAAACGGAGTCCCTGAAGCCTAATTAGGAGAGAAGAAGAGATGATCACACGTATCTGTTTGGTATGTTATTATTCATCAATATTGGGTAGACCAGTAAGATTGAACCTGATACTCAAGGGACAGAGTTTGTTTAATGTGACAATTGTCACATCTCTACTTCATTTCTGACTTGGTCCAAACAACCTGAATGTGTAAAAATCTAGGGAATCTAAAGTTGCTTTTCAGCCCCTCAATTCCAAACAAAACTGGCTCAGCTCTAAGCTAAGGTGATGAGAATATAGGAAACTGAGCTGTCAGTGGGCAGAAGTCATTATACAAATGTTTTTCTTTAATTGAGAGGTAAAGTAAGGGAGCAGAAGGAAGAGGAGAAAGAAGCTCTCTAGACCAGCTCTCCATCACAACCATTCCAACAAAGATCTCAAAAGAGCAAAAGACCAAAGTGAAAACCCAGTGAGTGATGTTTCCTGCCCAGTTTGGCATAGTTACAAAGACCTAAGTCTGGGCACATGGACTAACCAGGAAGGTAACAAGAAGACTAGAGATTAAATGAGGGCCCCAGGCTATGAACTTGGGTAACAACTGGTCAGGGATTCAGCAGAGATGAGCCTGGCACTGGGCAGGGAGCAGCAAGAGGAGCCAATGGCCAGCTTTGCACTCTGAGCCCAGAGTTAGGTCACAGAATCAGTGCTGAAGAGGGCACTTGTGCTGAGGAGTGGGAGCAGCTGTCACCTGAGGCTGTATAGTAAAGGAGCTGGATTTTCATCCTCTATTTGGGCCTGATAGTTGAGTAAGCAGGGCAGAGAGCTCAGAACAAGGAGAAGCCTGTAACTCTATACCAACAAAGGCTTTTAGCTAGCTGATAGGAGCTGTGGCCAGCAGTAGTCTACTGGAAACCCAATTAGGGACAAGTCTGAAATGGTGTTGCTAAAACCCAAATCTAAGGCAAGAGCTTGTTTTGACAGCAGTGATCAGAATTCTGTGTAGATAAGATTGCTTTGGGCACACTGAAAGTTAGCAGGTCACCATCCTGAGCTACTCCTTGTATCCTTAAAGAACATAACACTGAATACCCAGAGAAAGCAGCAGCAAGATACTAAAGAATACAAACCAAAACCAAAAATGCCTAATAACAAAGTACTAATTCAAGAAGTAAGGCTAGAACAGGGGTGGGGGACCTGTAGCCTTGAGGCCATATGTGGCCATCTAGGTCCTTGGGTGCAGCCTTTTGACTGAGTCCAAGTTTTACAGAACAGATCCTTTTATTAAGGGATTTGTTCTGTGAAATCTGGATTCAATCAGAGGGCCCCACTTGAGGACCTAGAGAGTCACAAGTGGCCTTGAGGCTGCAGGTTTTCCACCCCTGGGCTAGAATATTGAATAAATCAAAAATACTACCATGAAAAAAAGCTGTCATTGAGACAGGAATGCACAAAATACAAATGCAAGGGAAAAAGCTACTTGAAAATATCTACAAGCAGAGTCTCAAATAAAAAAATACAGTTTGGGTACAAGGTCAACTAGAATTCCTAGAAAATAATAATAATAATAATAATAGTTTTCTTAAGAGTTTAAAATTATTTTACAAATAGTTATCATTCTTAGCATATAGAACTTTAAGGTTTACAAAGCACTTTACAAGTATTATTTCATTTAATCCTCACAAGAACCCCGGGGGGGGGGTGGCAATGCTATTATTATTATTTCTATTCTACAATGCTGTTACTATTCCTATTTAGAAAACTGAGGCAAAGAAAGATTAAGTAGCTTGTCCAGAATCACAAAGCTGGTATATGTCTGAGGCTGGATTTGAATTTAAGGGTTCTTGACTCCAGGTTCAGTACTTGATTCACTCTACCTTCCTAACTATGAAGAAAAGATTTAAAAGGAGAATTGACAGTTTAATACAAGAGATTAAAAAGTTACTCAAATAATAGACTCCCTAAAAATTAGAATAAATGAAACAGAAATTAATGAACCCATGAGACAGGAAGAAATATGAAAACAAAGTCCAAATACTAAAAATGATGATGATGATGTTGATATTAGGTAGCTCAAAGCAAAAAAAAAAAAAAAACTTACCTGGAAAATAGATTAAGGAGAAATCTGAAAGAACCAACCAAAAAAAGGGTTTGGAAGCAATTTTTCAGAAATCATGGGAGAAAACTGTCCAGAATCACTAGAACCAGAAGGCAAAATGAAAATGGAAAAAATTCTCCTCCTGAAAAAAATCCTAAATGAAAACTCTCAGGTACATCATAGCCAAAATCCTGAGCTTCCAGGTCAAAGAAAAAAATACTGTGACTATTTAAAAAGAAAGCATTCAAGTACCAAGGAGTCACAGTAAGGGTCACATGAAATTAAGCAGCTGTCACTATAAAGGAGTGGGGATATTGGAATATGATACTACAAAAGGCAAATTATAGACTTACAATCAAGAATAATATACTCAACAAAATTAAGCGTAATCCTGCAGTGGGAGAAATGGACCTTTGATGAAGCAAAAGCCTTCCAAACATTCCCCTCTCTCACTTCCCACTTCTTTATAGGGGAAAGAGTGAGGAATGAAAGGAAAAAGTATAAGCAAACAAGATGAAGGAAAACACACAATGATCATAAAACAGAAGAGGTTAGCAGAGTGGATTAGGAAGCAAAAAAACAATCTATTGTCTATAAGGAACACATCTTAAACATAAAGATTCACAGAGTTAAAATTAAAGGCCTAGAGCAAAATCTATTATGCTTCAGCTGACGTCAAAAAAACACAGTAGTAATCATAATCTGAGGCAAGTTAACAGCAAAATGGACTTGAGTTTTAAAAATAAGCAGAGAAACTGAATTATGCTGAAAGGTACCACAGACAATGAATTCTTGCATGAATATAACAATGAATTTGCACCAAGTCACATAATATCTAAATACTTACAGGAAAAGCTGATGTGATCACTCTTTGGTAGATTATTCAATAGGAATAGGAAAGAATATGCAGATTTCTCAGCTCTGTGTGTGACACTTTTATAAAAACTGGTCATGCCTTTAAGGCATTAAAAACCTCACAAATAAATTTTAAAAATATTAAATAATCTTATACTGATTACAATACAATAAAAATTATATTTAGTAAGGAACCTTGGAGAAAAATATTGAAAATGATCAACTAAATTATAAACTTAATTCTAAAGAACTGGCTGATCAAGGACTGTTTTGTTATTTCTCCTCTTGTCCAGAGTAAGTGATCCCTACCATCACTAACAATGCACGGAGTACTTCAAATACAAAGATAGAGGAAACAAATTGGACGAAAGACTAGGAGCAGGAAGAATAGTAAGGAGGTTATTGAAAAATTTCAGATGGAAAATGATGAGGGCTTGAATTTGTCCAGGGTATTGGGGATAGAGAGAAAGGTAAGCTCACAGGATATAAAGCTGGGATGTGTATTGCAGTTAGATCATCTAGTGCACAGTGCATTATTTTGTTGATTGGGAAATTGATATCCAGAAAAGAGAAAGAATTTGGCCAAGATCCCATTGTGCACAAGTAACAGGACCAGAATTCTGATCTAGGTCTCCAGATTCCAAACCCCAAGCTCTTCCTGTTCCATTGTACTGCCTTTCAAGGATAAATATGAGAGACACTCATTTAAAGGTTTTTGAGAAGAACAGTGACATCATCAGGACAGTGTTTTTAAAAGATTACATTTGGACAGTGGTAAAAAGGATGAATTAAAATGATGAGAGACCAGAGGCAGGAACACTGGTCGAAAAGCTATTGTCATAATCTAGAAGAGCAGAGATGAGGGTGTCTGGAGTAGAAACTGAGAGGAGGGGGTAGATGTAAGAGATATTGTCCAAGTAGAATCAACACAAACAACCATACCATTGGAAAGAATGTCACAGCAATTGGTTAGATGTGCGGTTTGAAATAGAGAAGATCAGAGGTATTTCCCAATCTGAACCTGGGTGATTGGGAGAAGGGCAGTGCCGTTAACAGAAATAGAAAAGGACAGTGGGCACAACGTGGGGGGGGAATCCAAAGTTCAGAAGTTGGTTATGTACAGTTTGATGTGCTTGCCCAAAGTTCAGATGTTTCCAAATGTTTGCCAGACACCCTGCAATGCAATCTCACCAAGGAGAGTCCCAGGCTCTGAGGAACAAAGGCCAACTTGGTTTCATTGCTCAGCAAACATTTATGAGGTATTAAGTACAAGCACTCCGGAAGTGCCAGACCCCATGCTCAAGGGCTAGACACTTCATACTGGAGACCGCTCAAAACACTCAAGGTTCTTTTTCTCTTCTCTGTCCACAGCAGAACAGTCTCAGAAAGGCTCCTCACTCTCTGGAGGGGCCATCGCTGGCATTGTGATTGGAGTCCTAGCTGCAGTGGCTCTCATTGGGGCACTCATCTATTGCCTGAGCTTCAGAAACACTGGAGGGTAGAATGATGCTTCCTCTGGTTTTCTTCTCTCCTAGTCTGTCTCCCTGAATGGGGGAGAGATGCTTTTCTATACCCACTTCTAGCCCTGGTCTACCTCACTTTCACAAGCTACTTTTCAGCACTAATTCCCTTGGGTGGCCTCCTTCTCTGGGCTTTCATCTTCCCCCATCCCTCACACTTAATTGCCTCTTGGAAACAGGTGTTCACTTCCCACCTTGGGATGGGGATTAGACCTAACCATTTTTCTTAAATCCTCAACCAAAGGGCCTGAGGTCCAAGAAGGCAGAGGTAAAGAAAGGAAGGGGCAGCTGGGAGAAAAGGGACAGGTTATTACTTGAAACCTAGTGAGAACCAAGTGAGGGAAAAGGCCACTGAGGCAGATCCAGACTGCATAGATGAGCTGAGTAGCAGAATCATATGACGTAGGGGTGAAGGAACTAACAGTGAGGTGGTTGCACTTCAGGGATAAGCCCTGACAGAGGGGAAAGGAGCCTAGAGGCCTGGGGAGGGCTTATGAAATCTAAGGGGATCCAAAGATAAGTCTTCATGCTCCAAGTGTCCCTTCTGACTCACGGGCCTCAGTTGCTCTGATTGAGATCTCAGTCACAACATGTCTGATATTTATTCAGGGCCAGCGAACATCATCATACAGAGCACAAATCCTCAGCACCCAACCACAGTAAGTAAAGGCATTGACCAACCCATTTAGTGGCCAGTGGGTCTCTTGGGGGCCCCCTTGCCCTGAAAGATTCCTCCAGCCTCCAGTCCTATGCCTTTGTCCTTATGGGACATTTGTCTTCCCAGGGCCAGGTCCCTCCTGATCTAACTTGCAAAGGGGACCTGGGTGTGTTCCCTCAAAGCCATGAAGAGAAAGACCCTGATACTTATCTGAGCCACAGGCTAGCAGAGCATTCATCCCAAGCTGGCCAAGTCAGGCCTGCAGCACAGGGACCTGTTTCCAGGAGCCATGTCCTCAGCCTTATTCCTTCTCCTTGTTCATGGCACTGTGATGGGATGTGAGTGTCTTCCTTTGGTGGGCTTTCCTGTGGGTGTTCTGGGATCCTCCTGCCCCTCCTCTTGACTGGAAATCGTTACTGAGGAATCTATCTGGAGGGAAATCAGAATCACGTTGAGACTTTCATGGAGTGGGGGAAATCTGGAATGGGCTAACCAAGCCATGTCTCCATGCCAATCCTCTGGTGCTAAGGCTGCTGGTCCGGTACTGTGAACCCTGAGGAAGCATTTCTTTCTGAGGTTGGTGGTCACTCTGCAATCCCCAGGTCCCTCCTGCAGCCTTCTCCTTCTCCTTCCACTTTCTGTTACCCTGGGAAGAAGGTGAGAATGCTGAGCCAGGGCAAGAAATGAGGAAGAGGGTAATATGGACTCCCTCTGCTCACTGCCCAGGACAGACTGCTGCTGATTTCTAACTGCTGTCTCTCTACTTCCCCAGGGCAGACCTACTCTGACAACTCACCTAACAGGGTAAGCTTTATCCCTTCCCACCAGAGGATGAATCTACGGATACAAACTGGGTAGAGAGAAATGAGATGATAATAATGATAACAACCTGAAGTCTATCTCATTTGGCCCCATAAAATGAGCTTTATCCTCATTTGGCTGGGGAGGAAACTGAGGCAGGCCTCACACTCAGGCCCCTGTGTTCTATCCCTCCCACCTCACTCACCCTCTTCTCTTCTCTCCACACCTGCATTCATTCCTTAAGAGGCAGCTTCTCCAGCTGACCTGGGCCACAGAGGTTCATTCACCTCCACCCTAAAACCACTGTCTCAACCACTAGCTCAATCTATATAAGAGCTCATTGTTCACTTGTGTCTGACTCTCCGTGACCCCATAGACCATAGCGTGCCACTACTGCCCATGGGACTTTCTTGGGAAATATGCTGACATGGTTTGCTATTTCCTTCTCTAGTGGGTTAAGACAAACAACTAACATGACGTGCTGGAGTCACACAGCTAGTGTCTGAGGCTGGATTTGAACTCAGGCCTTCTGACTCCAGATCTGATATGCCACCTAGTTGCCTCTTGGTCCTTCAAGACCTGTACAAGGGATACAAAAATAGGGCATAGACCTTGCCCCCTCCAGGAGCATGTCCGAAACAAGAGGATTCAGAAGGGAAACAGGACTGAGACAAACAATATGGTTCGGAATCACAAAAAAAATTTTTTTTCTTTCATAAAAGGAAAAGTGTCTCCTTTAACAGCCAAGAATGATTCAAAAGTTGAGTGGGCTACTCAGGAGGTAGTGAGCTCCCTGTTACTGAAAGTCTTCAGGAGTAGTCTGGAGGACCACTGGCTAGGGAGTGGCTCGGAGGGGGTCTGTGCTCCAGGTACGAGTTAGACTAGATGTGGTCCTTTCCAGCCCAGAAAGTCTCTGATTCTTAGATTGGAAGGGCCCTGAGGGGTGATACCTTCCTCCTCTGTTCACTCCACCTTCCACTGATCCCACTCTGTGCCTTGCAGACTGAGGAAGTATCCTATGCCTCCTTGAACTTCAGTGCCCAGAAACCACTTGCCACGGATCAATTACACCACCCAAGGACATGGTTTATTCCGAAATCAAAAAGAAATGACCCGTCGTTCTTCTTGTCTGCCCTGGGGATGGACACATTGACTGTGATCTTCCCCCAGCTTCCTCAAGCTCTGCGACACCAGCCTCGTGCAGCCCAGCTCTACCGCATTCCCACCAACCTCAGGGAAGGAGGAGGAGGGTGGGCCTCCTGTCACCCTGGAGGCTTCCCAGGCGGGCCCCTCCCCTCCATTGTCAACAGAGGACAGGGACACATTGGGCGCTTCTCGAAGCTCACCTTCTTTCTCTCTTCAAAAGTTGGCAGCCTCTCCTAGAAGAGGGTGGCCATCGAGACATCTCATCCCTGGCACTCTCCAATCACACACCTGTGCCTCCCTCTCTGCTCCAAGCACAATCATCAGGCGTGCCCCTAGCTTGGCCAGTTAGGACAATGTGAACTGGGGCTGCTGCCCCCTGACCAGAAGCTAGCAAAGGGAGGAGCAGCTGCTAGACCTGGACTCAGGACTGGTTGCAAAGCTTAGCTCTTCGGCTTACACCGTCCTTCTGACCTTGGGAGACTTCCCTCCCTTCCACCTCAGTTTCTCCCTCTGTAAAGTGAAGAAGTTGGATTGATGATCTCTAGGGACTTTTATAGCTCTAGACCCTGTGACTCTGAGCCAGCATCTGAGACAGTCTCTGGAAGGGGGAAAAGTGACAGCCACCATCAGCCCAACACCAGGTTTTCCATTTTCTGTCTGGACTCTGCTGTCCCTGCCCTGCCCTTCCTATGCCTATCCTTCCTCCCCAGCAAGGAAGGGGGTTTACGGGGGAGGACAAGAGCTCAGAGACCATCTTCAGCAGGCACTTTACTACCCAGTCCACCCAGGGAGGGGAATGTTCCCTGTTTTAATGCACAGCCCAGTTTCCTGAGCACTACCAGAAAGCTGTTAGCCAGAACCCTAAGGGAATTCCCTATGGAAAAGGCAAAAGTCCAACCCAGAGGGCTTTCAAAGTCTTTACCATCTCTGCTCAGGGAAGCTGCCCAGAGAGATAAGAGGACCAGATCAGCAATGAGTCATTGTCACCTTCCAGAAAAATCTGGGGGAAGGGGGGATGGGCAGTGGAATCCACACTAGCCCAGAGAAAACTTGGCCTCTGGTGGGTGAATGTTGGGACAATGCAAACATCTGGCTGTTATCTTTCCATTTTCTGGGTCTTTTCAGCCCAAGAAGGATGGGAAAAGGGGCTGGTAGAACTCTGGTGTTTGTCTTTTACTTAACTGCCTTATCTAACCTGCTTGCCTAATGCAGAAGCTTCCAGTCCACTCAGTGTTCTATTACCCTGGTCCCTGTGGCTTCCCAGGGATCCAGTCAAGGTCTCCAGACAGGAATGGGAAGGAAGGTGAGAGTATCTTCTCAAAGTAGGGAGAGGGGATCCCAGCAGTCACTGGAGACATCAGTCAGCCAGCTCCATGGTGCCCACACCTCCTCTCCCCCCCTGCACCCATGCACAATCCACTGCCTCTGTCACCCCCGCATACCCTTTCAGGAAACAATGGCCTCTACCTAAGGCATGTTGTGTGGGTGGGTTTGGCCCCCTGGCACATTGGAAGCTCCCCCAGGGGCCGTGTTTACACTCCCACGGGCAGCAGAGACTTCATACTGGTGCTGAGGTCCCCAGGGGAGAATGAAGGATGCAACCCACAAATCTGTCTTGCCTTCCCCAGCCATTGGGAATCTTTCTCTGGGAGCTTCACCCATCACAAATAGCTCCAAAAAGCCCCACCACCCCCAACTAGAATCACAGAATAATATCAGAATGGTGGAAGATCCCAGAAGTCATCTAGTCCAGCTCAAACCAGAGCAGGGGGAGAGGAAGAGAAGGGGGAGCTTAGCTTTCTATCCAGCCTTCTACAGGGTTGGGCAGGAAGGTTTTCTATCCAGTACTTCTATCCAGCTCACCCTGAATCCGAGGGGTCTCTCATCATAAAGAAGATCCCCATAGTGAGGTCTCAGTGCTGAAACACCTTTTCCATGACTCACTCCCCAAGATCCAAAGACTGTACCCCCTCTCACCAGATCCAGACTGGGGTATTTAATTTTACATGGCCCAAGGACGTTTCTCTCTCTCTCTCTCTCTCTCTCTCTCTCTCTCTCTCTCTCTCTCTCTCTCTCTCTCTCTCTCTCTCTCTCTAATGACTGTTTGTAAAGTTGATTTGCTATCTATTTATAATAAAAATGATATCATTCAAACATGAATGCGCTTCCTCAAGTCTCTGGGAATTCCTCTTTGATGGCTGCCCTTAGAGGAGAGGGAGATAGAAGAGAAATTCCTCAGGATTTCTCAGAACAGGCAAATGGCCATTTTTCAATTTATAGACATTTGGCCTAGTAACTCAAGGGCGGCCAGGTTGCATTTGCATTTCTATTCTGAGGTGTCTCCTAAAGCTACAGACAATGTCTTCAAATCGACCCCTTCTTCAGTCTCACTAGAATTTCCCAAGTCCCTCTGGAAGGGAGGGGGACCCTAAGTGAAGCATCTCACCAGTCCCCTTTCCCCATCCCCCACCCTGCCACGTGTTGATAGCACTTCCCACACAGAAAGGCCCAGGTGAGCAGATTTAGCAATACAGAAATCTTTGTGGGAGTCTCCACAAAGCAGAAGCAGGATGATTCTCTTGACTGATCACAGACCATTTAAAGAATGGCCTTTTTCTGGCACCCACAGTATTCGACCCCATCATATTTTCCTCTCAAGGCATCCCCATGCTAGATCTTAGAACCACAAACTGGCAAGAGGCTGAAGGGACCTCGGAAGGACTTTTATCTGAACCCACCCTGAAGCATCCCTAGATGCTCTCTAACCCTCCAACAATCAGCTAGCCAGCCTCTGTGATTCTAGCACCTGTCATCTGCCTCCCAGGGATTGCTCCCTATTAATCTGACTTTCTCTGACAGATGTGAAATCCTGGTTAGTCAGGATTGTCTCATTGATTGCATTTGTGTGCCCAGCACCTAACACAGTGTCTGACACATGGGAGCCACTTAATACACATTTGTTGATTGACTGACGGATAGATTTCTTTCTTCAAAGCTGTTCTCCATGGCAGATAATCATTCAGAGAGCTTTGCTGATACTCCTGTTAATAAAGAAGTTATTTTATGCCCAATGCTCTTTGGCCCAAGAATCCAACTTCCAGGCATATACCTCAAGGAGGCCAAAGGTAGGAAGAAAGACCCCATAAACAACGCATTCCCAGCAGAACTTTTTGTGGTAGCAAAGAACTGGAAACAACGGATGTAGTCCCCATCAGCTGGGTAATGGCTAGGAACCTAGACAGTCTAGAGCAGAGGTGTCACACTCAAAGCCAGGGTCTTCAGTGTGGCAGGAAGCAGATTAAATTGCAATTGGGAAGTGTTCAACAAAATAAACAGGAATACAGCACAACATAGATAATGCTGACTTGTGGTTTTCTGAGTCAGTAGGCGTTCCCCCAACCCTATTCCCGGGATCCATTTCTATCTGAGCTTGATACCCCTGGCAAGGAGGGGAGAGTGCTATACCTGGGGTCAGGAAGACTTGTGTGACCCTAGGCAAGTCATTAACCTTACTCATCCTCAGTTTCCTCATCTATAAAACAGGGATAATAATAGCCCCTGCCTCACAAGGATGTAGTAAGGATTTAATGAGATAATAGAAAAGTTTTTGCAAACCTTAGAGTATTATATAAATATTAGCTATTACTATTGAATAGTTATTATCAACCTAATGGTTGATTGTGGTACATGAATGTAAAGAAATATTGTTGTGCCATAAGAAACCGTGAAAATCAAAAATTCAGAGACGCATTAGAAGGTTTATTCTTTGACGAAGAGGCCTACAATAATGGAAACAGGAAACAAAAATGTGAAAATGAATATAGTGTAGTTATAATTACCAAACTTGGACCCAGAGAAGAGTAGTTGGTCAGCCCAAAAGTGTTAAGTGCCTACTATGTGCTCAAAACTCTGCTGAGGGCTGGGGATAAAAAAAGAGACAAGAGGCAGTCCCTGCCCTCAAGAAGCTTTCAGTCGAGTGGGGAAGACAACGAGCAAACAATTATATACAAGAAGCTATATGCAGAAAAAATAATAATAATTAACTGCAGGAAGGCACTAGAATTAAGAGGAATTGAAGCAGGCTTCCAGTGAAAGATGAGGTTTTAGTTGGGACTTAAAGAAGCTGGAGAGGTCAGTAACCAGAGCAGAGGAGGGGAAAGAGCTCCAGGTATGGAGGACAGCCAGAGAGAATGCTGGAGCCTGAGAAATGGAGTGTCTTTCCTGTAGAACAACCAAGCCAGTGTCACCGGATGGAAGAGTACAGGATGGGGCAGAAGTTGTAAAAAGACTGGAAAGGTGGGGGAGTGGGGGTAGAGGTGATAGAGAGCCAGTGGAATTTGATTGGTTATTGTCCTTCGTGCTCAAAGGGGATCAAAGTGACATCACTGTGTCAGGGTCAAGGTCCTGTTGTGTCTAACTGTGGCGGGTCAGATGTTCTGAGCTCAGAAGGCTCTGCCACAGGTTGGGCCCAAGTAGCCTGTCTGAACATTTTGAGTGGAGATGGCTCTAAATTTGCACATCTCACATATCTTTTGAGCTAATATAATTATGCTTTGCTCATTGAGCACAGCAGCTTCTTTGATATGGGCATGCCATGCCAGGCGGTTCTGCACCAGCATCTCATGTGTATCACAATTGATTCAAAGTTCTTCAGAGACACCTTGAGAGTGTCCTTGTATCGCTTCTTCTGACCTCCATGTGAGCGCGTGCCTTGAGTGAGTTCTCTGAAAAGTAAGTCTTTTAGGCAGAGGCATGTTTGGCACTCAAAGTGGCCACCCCATGAGAGCTTGCACCCTCTCTGCAGTAGGGTTTGAATGCTTGACAATTCAGCTCAAGAAAAGATGCCCATCAATTGGGGAATGGCTAAATGATTTGAGGTGCATGATTGTGACAGAATACTACTATGCTATAAGAAATGATAAGTTCCATGATTTTAGAAAAACATGGATAGACTTGCATGAAATAATGAAGAGCAAAATGAGCAGAACCAAGAGAATGTTGTTTATAGTAACAGCAATATTGTTTCAAGAACAACTTAAAGCGAATAAGTCATTTTGACTATTATAAATACCCAAATTAACTACAAAGGACATATAAAGGAAGACTCTCCCTGCATCCAGAGGAAAACTGATAAATAGAAGGATGTATAGAATGATTTTACACATACATACATATTTGTGTCTAATGGTAACCATCTCTAAGGCAGGGGGAAGGGGGGAAAGGAGGATAAAAAAAGAAATGTACATGATAACTTTATTATATATTTAAAAGGAGTAGCAAGTTGTATATAACGTATTTGCAGTTTCATGTGCAATCATTTTTATTATACTATGTTATAGAAATGTGTTTTATTTGTTTTATTCCATAATTTAAAAATAAAATAAATAAAAATTTTAAAAATAATTTTATAGCCAAAAAAAGAGGGACTTCAATGAACTCATGAAATGAGTATTTGGGTTGGACCTACACTTTAGGAAAATCACACTTGGATCTGAATGGAGTATGGATTGGAATGGGGAGAGCCTTGACACAGGAAAACCCACAATGAATATTCGCTTCTTTTCAGAGGTGGGGGGTGATGGGTATGGAATACTGCACATACCGTCTGATGAACTCAATGTGTTGGCTGGTTTTACTATATTTCTTTTTCTCTTTCTTTTTAAATCTTCATCATAAGGAATAGTTCACTGGCTGGGCAAGTAGGAAGGGAGATAATCTGAAATGAATGTGGCATGAAAACAAAAGGCATGGATAAAAATAACAAACATTGTTGGAAAAAGAATTTGTCAGGGTTGAGACCTCCAAGTGGATTCAGCAGAGAGATTATGACTAGAGATGTTGGTTCACAACAGAGATGCTACAGTGGGATTTCTTTGGATCAGACTCAGTTACACGCTGAGCTGCCTGCCCCTTCTGACAATCTTGGCGGAGTGCCCAGGGTAGCTAGCATTGGTATAACAAAGGTGGAGGAGCATGGATATGGTCCCCAAGCTACACCCGCAACACCCACTTTACATTCTCTTTCACTACTCCTCTCTGGCTACTAGGCAGGATGTGACAAATCATTTCCCTCCCAAAAATCCACTCCAACCCTGACTGATGAGATTCTTTCCAGATCCCTCCTTTGTACCCACAGCCCAAAGGGTGACACCTCTCCCCTCTAATGGGTGGGCTCTAGTCTAGGCTCAGGAAGGCAGTTCTCAGTCCTGGGGGAAACTGACCCAAAAGACTTTTCTAATACTCCCTGGCTCATTACCCCCCTCCCCAAAAAGTAAAACTCTGAGGGGAATCTCACAAAACAAAGCTTAGCTTTCTGCTCATGTCTAAACTCTCCCCAAAAGGGATTAACCAGTCATTTCTAGAAAGGCATTCAATATACATTGTAGCTCAGGTATAAGAGAACTCTGTATGTCCCGACCACAAAGGAAATGCTTAACGCACAAAAGATTCATAATTGCACCTTGACAAGTACTTAAGTGAAGCGGTATTATACCACCTGACTCATTTCCAGGTCTGCATTACAAAAGAAAAAAAGGCCCTCAAATTTTTTTTTTTTAATAATCAACAGTCAATAGGCATGGTAGACAGATATCTCTTCTCCAGACTATTTAGTCCTTCGTGTGACTGTGGAATGCTTTGTGCAAGAGGAAATCACTAGACAAAGTCTGCCTATTTCCCTCCTCATATTTCTATCGAGAATATCTTTGATATGTATGTAAGCCATTCTCGTAAGGATTTGGTATGTAACAAGGGCTTAAATATTTATATCCCCATTTTAAGACCTCTACTCTGATTCAGGCTGGCACATGACCACATGACCAACATTGAGAGCCAAAGGCGCAGAGAGGCTATGATGTCATTCTGAGAAACAGAATCTAAAGATCAGGGAGTAGAGCAGGGTGGTGGAAGGGCCTCCTTTCAGTAAATTGCTTCTGAGTCCAATACCTTCGCTCCATTAGCAGTAAGTCTGCCAGGACCAAATGAGCATCCCATGAGAGACAATAACGTACATGGAAAAGCATGAGGAACCTCTCCATCCAAGGCCAGGTGGACCTGTGGAGAGGTCTCAGGCTTCTGCCTGTCTTAGCATTTGCTCTTTCATTTTAGGTGAAGGAGCTTAGGCTGTCGCCAGGACATCCTGAGTTCCAAAAAGTCAGAAG